GTTAACGGTGATGTGATGTGTGAATGCATCTTCAAATGAAGACAGCTGCAGCTGCCAGCGTCTTCACTGCATCCTCATCTGTGACACCCACAAGGAGGAGGCAGAGGCAGAGAGAGAGGGAGGGATGGGGGGAGAGAAAAAAAAAGGTCATGGTGTGCTTTCAACCCACCCACTCCACCCCATGAATGGTCCTCCTAATCTTTTCTGTGGTGCGTGTATGGCTGGAGGGGAAGGAGGAAGGGGGCCGCGTAATCACCCACGGCGCTCCAGACAGCACCAACTGCGGTCGGCCAGCGGGGGCACGTGGCTTTGTCTTTCACCCATTCTTTTGGAGACCAGCTGTGGTCTGAGTGTGTCGAGCCCAGTGATGCTGCTGCTATAAATATGCGTCAACGAGTGTGAGTAAGGGACAGCTGTACAGTGGACAAGGACACGCTGTCTTGGCACCGTCAGACCGAGCCACTCCAAAAAAGGCAAACTCGGTATGGGAGCACCAGTTGATAGGTTTTCAACGCCGCTGCGTGCAGTTGTTGATGCGGCCGCGTACGATGTGCAAAGGCCGCACCGTAGCTTTCGCTCAGGCACCGCGAAAAAAAAAAAAAAAAAACATGGCTGGCTCTCCTGAGATGATCTGAGAGACATTTCCCTGAAAGTCACATTAACAGCTCCTCCGAAATTAAGTGGATGGTAACATATGCATTTGAGGAGAAAGGGGGGGGGGTAGAGGGGGACTACTGTCTCTGTGTGTGTGTGTGTGTGTGTGTGTGTTGTCTGTGTCCAGGCGCACATGTGACTCTGTTTGTGTGCCCTTTTCAAGTGTGACCACCTGTCTTTTGTTGAGAAATAAATAAATAAACAGGCCACACCAGCTGTCCCTGGCAGTCCGTCTCTTCAGAGGTCAAGGGCTCCCACCGCTGGCCCTGCTGAGGTGGTGAACACTTACAACTTTGCTCTCAACTTCTCTGAAAGAACGAAGCGTACACACACACACACACACACGTACACACACACACGATCACTCCAAGCCGCTGGAACCAGACTTTGAGCCTGGAAGTGGAATGTTTTATTACACCATGGAGTTAGCCTGCACATATCCCAGCTCGTCACCCTGCAGCTAAGCCCTGTCACATGGCCTCTACTTTCCATGTGAAGGTTTTGATCCACACACACACACACACACACACCAGGCGGGCCCTGGTTTCTTACAGGCAGATGTGAGATGTTGCCGTAGACGTCGTGTGAAAGCGAGCGCAGCGCTGCGGCGGGCCCTTATTTAGCGTGTGCTGCCTGGAGGTCCTCAGTCCTCAGGTTGTTTATCAACGATCTTGGGAGGACATTGTTTCCTTTATGTCGGATCTGCCCGACTAGCGCCGCTGTGTCGTCTGTTTGTGCATAAAGTACGTGCCGGGGAGCGGGGCCAGACAATAGCCCGGCTGAACTACTACCCACGTACACAATAGAGCGCTGGGACGAGGCTGAGGTTTGGGGCCACAGTTTGGGGGGCTGTGGGGGTGGAGGTAGGATAGTTCAGGCAGGGGCAGTTGGATGTGGCCCACGACTACATGGAGTTCCCAGAATGGGTGAGCTGGAGCCGGGGGGATGGTGGTGGGAACCAGAGCACATCCCCATTGGGATCACGTCGTGGAGCAGCTGGATTTCTTTCACGGTGCAGCAGGGAAATAATTAAAAGTTCTCCCCATTGTAAATGTCCAGTGAATTGGCATTAAGCGCCTTAATTAGACCCACACATTCTGCTAGTGGTTTCCTAATGTACAAATAATTCAATTTGTGCCCAGCTAGGTTGGCTGAAGCTGAGGTGGGCTGGATTCAGGTAATAATGGCATTAGGAAGTGGGCCGGCTCTGTTAGCAGCGTGTGTTTATCTCCTTCAGTCAGTGCTGGCAGCAGGTCAGGAACAATGGAAGCCCATCTTGAAATTGCTCCGTCCTTGAGCTCACTTTATGGTTTCAGAGGGACGGGGCCTGCAAGACCAGCAGTATCA